GTGTACCAAAGAGGACATCAGTGACACTTCTGCCAGGTCATCTGCAAAACTGTTTGAAAGCAAAAGTGTAAAGTTAAAGAAGCAGCTAACAACGCTCTATACCTTGAATGCTTCTTTTAAAAAAGGCTTTACATCCTTCACACGACCAGACGCCATAGTGATATCCTGACGCGTAGTCACTGCAGACTGCACAGAAGTGGGCATCCCTCTTTGAACTTGGACTAGTAACAGGGCTGGCACAACTGCTCCCACTAATCTTCCTTTTCGGTGTCTCTCTGGAGGCAAAGAAAACATTCATTGTAAAAGAGCATTAAGGGGAAAAGAGATTTTCTAGAAGGGGAAAAAAGAAAAAAAAAAAAACCAGCATGAACATTGCCCTCCAGGGTTCATGATAAATATATTCCAGGAAATCTGACCAAGCAAAACCTTGTTACTGATATAAGATCTACGAAGAGTCACGTTGTTGGAAATGACTGATGTTTGAAAGTGGTTAGACAAGTTGATACCCACCCATGCAGTAGTAACTACAGATGATAAGCACTAGTAACTACGGATGGCTAGTTGTAGCCATCGGGGTGCACATCTCTGAGTGTAATAAGTGACCAGATTGAGTCTTACCCATAGTTCTGAACCACAAGCAAGGTATGCGGTAGCCTTCCATAGTTCCTAGAGTTCATCAACACTGCATGGAGGGGCCTAAACTCACCTAACCATTTTCAAGTATCAGTCACTCCCAACAATATCACCAAATGCCCTTCAGAGTTTCCATTTAAATGGGGGAAGAAAAACCTTTTATTCTGCAGTTCAAAATAAAGGTTTAGAATAAAAATAACCGTAAGAGGGGTAGCAAATGGACTTTGAGTTATATTAAGGTGAATACTGTATGTACTCAGATTTCGAGAAAGGGAGAAGGGAAAGAAAGAATGAAAAGGGAGAGAAGGGAATAAAATAAGGGAGTGAGAAAGGGGAAGAGAGAAGAAAAGGAGTGAACACATGCCTGTCCTTAAAGAAGGCTTTGAAGAAAGTAGGCTCTCAGTGCTGCGTGGAGGGGCAGGGACTTGTGTGGAGGAAGGAAGAGCCAAAAACATATCTGGCTAGTTCTTAATTTTGCTAGGGTATGTTTCTTTTGGAAAAGAAATAGTAGAGGTATGATTAATTTATAAATGATGGTAATTATTATGGTTTAAATTACCCAAATATTAGCAGAACTCTGATTAGAATTCATGCACAGAAATAAAATATTTCTTCAGTTAAAGATAATGAAAAAATGTTACTTTAAAAAAGTTATCTATAATTTTTATATTCTCTTGTATTTTTCCAACAAACAAAAAGTTTTTTGAAAAGGGGAAAAATAAGAACACCATGTAACATGGCTTTCTCGAAGTTTTACGATGGCATTTGAAAGTAATGAATTTCAATATCCGATATGCTATAACTTACACTTTGGTTGTTTTAGAAGTTTATCTTCCCCTCATGCTTCTTCCTAAACAACCTCTTCCCTCCAGTCATAATTATCATTAAAAATATTACAAATTAAATGGAAATAACCATCACATTACCCTGCATTTAAAGAGTACAAATATTCCTTTTAACTTCTAGAAATTTCAACTAAAGTCTACATTTCAATAGTTTCCTATTGATCTCTACAAAATGTTTAGTTCATTGTTTAAAAGTTTGTACCTATTGTTGTCTGTCTTTTCAGGCTTCACGTGTTTAGTATTTCATTTAAGCTGTAATACTGCCACAGTTACATTTATCCTGGAAACAATTTGTCATGAACACTAAATTGTGACTTCATTACAAAAAAATCTAAATTGAAAGTATTTCTTTTTCAACCCAAATCACTTCATCAGGAGGAAATGATTTAAGTTTAATCTTTATTGTCTAAAGACAGTAGTCACGATAGTGAATTCTACCCCACAACACAGATTTACAGACTCAACTTTTTAATGAGAACAGAATATCAGAACAAATATTCTAGAATTCAGAATATGTTTTAGGTGCCCTAGGTAATCCACAAGATTAATAAAAACCTTGTATAACACATATCGTTCTTCTCACTAAATCATAAAGGGATTTGGATAATGTCCATTAACTATAATTCAGAATGAAGACTGTATTTACCTGTTTACAGGTACGGTGTGTTCTAGTGATCTTGCTTCACACCAAGGACTCTTTTGAGGTTCTGCATACAGAAGTGACGACTGGCAATGGAGCGCTAAAGGAGAGAGGTGCCCAGGAGTTGGCCACAACACATTTGAGCTTGTGGTCTGTCGACCAGGCCCACCTTCTGAGTTATTGGCACTGCTGGGAATACTGTAATTCATCACAGCAGGGTTATAGAATGTCATGGCTGAATATTCATGGTGGCTCTCTACATAAGAGGAAGGTATGTATATGGGGCCATGCTCCAGAGGAAGGACAGATTGACTGCAGTTGTAGGAATCAGGAGAATTAAGGCTAGATGGTGAGTTTTTGATATCCATGTCTTGAATAGGTAACATCTGAGAAAACTCCTTGTGAGAAGAGCCACAAAGGGACATTATAATGTTCTCAAAGTCTCATGGGCAGGTGTAATGGCTGTAAGGAATAACAAAGGGCATGTCTTAGAGCTACAAACATACCTATTAAAAATGTTCAAACATTTTTATTAAACACATACACATACTTTATGAGATTAGAAATACATCCTGAAAGATATACATGAAAATATTAATATCAGAGGGATGGAAATTTGAGTCACGGAACCCTCATTTTGTATTTCATTCACTTCTTTATTGCTTTTGTTATTGTTAACAAGAATATTATTTACCATGAGAATTTATTATAAAATCCTCTTTAAAATTAAAGAACACAGGATTAAGCGAAAGCGACACTAAGTTTTTTTTTAATCTGGAACAAGATAAGTATTATAAGTTCTTATGGATAAACAATAACCAGGAAAACCCTGAAAGAGCAGATTGATTAGCAGGACCAGCACTGACAAACATTCAAATACACCATGAACTGCCAATAATAAAAAACAAGGAATAGATAGGCCAGTGTAACTGTGTCAGTAATCATTTCATTGCCACACGGCTTCGGATACACCCTTCAATATATGCTCTACGATAAACAACAGAATTCCTATAGAATTTAAAGTGAGCCGATGCTAAACTTTATCAGTAGAGGGCGCTGCAGGGACACTGCAAGACGAAGAGGCTGCTGTGATTTCTGGCCTTCTTGGCCAGGGCGGAGGCCAGCTGTGTGGGTGTGAAGACGTGCAGCGGAGCCTGGCCCAGCGTCTGGTTCAGAACGAGGTCCCGCTGCAACCTTTTGGCCTGGGAGGTTAGAGTTTCCTTATAACTTATAGTTTCTTATAATAGTTAATTAATTATAAGTAATTCTTTATATCAAACCTCCGTTTTTGAACCTATTGTATATTTTCTATCTCTTGATTGGGCCCAGACTGCTACATAACAGAATGGAAAATCCCAAAATAGCAAATTCGAAAACTCAAAAGGTTTTAGAAATTGAGTTTCTGATAACGGTGGTATCTCAAATCACTTGGAAAACAATGGACAAAAGAATTACCACCGGGAAAGAATGTATGCCAGAATAAACTCCAAATGATCCAGAGACCCAAAAGTTAAGAGAGAAATGGAAGGAAGAGTGGGAGGGAAGGAAAAGGGACAAGGAGGAGCTGGGGCTGCACAAGTGCTGGAAGCAAACAAAAAAAAAGTAAATCCCTTTATAAAATGGGTGTGGGGAAAACTTTAACTATGGCTCAAAATCCAGATGCAATAAAAAGACGTGCATAAAAGCACATCGATTCAATACATAAAAGCAAATCTTGGCATATCATAAAAACATGCCATAGGCAAAAAAACTAATGACAAATTGGAAATAAAAATATTTTCAACTTATATTAGAAGGAGATAATCTCACTAGTATCTAAAGAGAACCCTTAAATTAAGATTTAAAAAGACCAAAAACTCACTCGAAAAATAGGCAAAAGACAAAAGCAAATAGAACATACACACCAAAAATAAATAAAGGGAAAGCGAAGCACAAAAAGATGCTCAAACTCATTCATAAAGGAGATACAAATTAAAACTATACCAAGATACCATTTCTCATTTATCATGTTCAGCAAAAATTCAAGTGCTTGACAACCCTTAGTAAGTCTATGGAAAAACAAGAAAACTCTCCTACATTGCTGATGGGAGTACAAAATGGCACAACCTCCATGTGTATATGTATATCAAAATTACATGTGCTTTTACCCTCTGGACAATAAGCCCACAATAAAAAAAAAAAAAAAAGAAAAATAGAATCGTTTATTACCACTGCAAATGATTAATACATCAGTTCCTCACTCTGAAAATTAGTAATTAAGGGAGAAGAATTAAGCCCATATCCTGCTTTTCAAAGGGGATCTGTAGTTTATCCCAAGGTGGAGGGGAAACTCTTCTTTACAAAAGAATGCCACCTAATAAATAGTTCAGAAAACAATATCTGGATGAATAATTAGAGTAAATAAGTCAAAATGTTAACAACTACTGAATCTAGATGGTAGAGATATGGACACTCATTATGCCAGTCTTTTGACTTTCTATATGTTTGAAATTTTAAAGGAGCATTGGAGAAAAACACAAAATACACGATTAAAATTGGAAACCTTAAAAAAGAATAACTGTAATAATATAATGTGGAAAAGGGAACAATGATCACTAATAAATAATGAGAATCCATGAGAGAGATCATTAAGAAACTTGCCTTGAGAAGTTCTCCATCTTTAATATTTTCAGTTCCAGCTATCACCTACTTCCATATGTAGGCAACTTGGCTATCTAAAGCCCCAAATTACCTTCCTTCTGACATTTTCATTTGAATGCTTAGTCCATTTGTCCTCAAAACACAATGTATCTATGGTGGTTTTAAAATAGCCCACAAATCCTTCAACATTTCTCCCTTCAAAAGGTAGAGCCTAACCTTCCCTTTGAGTATGGGCTAGATTTAGTGACTCACTTCTAATGAATAAATTATGGCAGAAGGGATGGTATGTGACTTCCAAGATTAGCTCATAAAAGGCACTGCAGCCCCTTCCTGGCTTGCTCTCTTGGATCACTCACTCTAGGGAACATTAGCTTCCATATTGTGAGGACACTCAAGCAACCCTATGGAGACCTACTGCTAACAGCTGGCAAGGAACTGCAGCCTCCAGCAAACAGCTGTGAGAGAGATATTTTGGAAGTAGATCCTCCAGCCCACATCAAGCCTTCAGATGACTGTAGCCCTGGCCAACATCTTGAAGACGTAAGCTGGAACCATTAATTTAGCTGCTCCTGGATTCCTACTCTCAGAAACTGTATGAGATGTTTGTTATTTTAAGTTGCTAAATTCTGTGATAACTTGTTATAGAGCACTAGATAATTAAAACAATTTCCAAGATAAAATTCATCATTTTCCTCTCAAAATCACTCATTTCCTGTGTTAATGACAAAGCAAATTAGTTACCTTTGACTTATCCTCCCCCGCTTTCATCCAAGGACCTTTAATCACCAAGACACACTTTTTTTTCCCCTCCATGGTGCCTTTTCCATGCTGTCTTTTGCCACCATCTGAACAAACTTATTACTTCTTATCTGTAAATCTGTAATAGGCTCCTTACTACTCCTTGTCCCTCATTTGCTCCTTCTCCAGGTCCATAGCGTGGCCAGATTAACATTCTTAAAATCCAGCTCTGATCAGTCCTCTGCTTCCCACCAGCCTCTGTAGTAAGTCACAGTCTTCTAACATTCAAGGCATTCCAACCTAAATTCCACTCTGATCTGCTATTTTCCTACAGGAAACCAGCCATATCCAAATAAGGAATATGTAAAATGCATTATGAATTGGTTGGCATTTTATGCCTTAGCACTTTTCCCACTCTTAGCAACCCTACGGTTATTGACATATAAATTTAATCCTTTTTATTAGATTACAACTACATTGAATCCTTCTTGGAAATGGAAAAGGTGGGATGGGAGAGTAAGAAGTACAGTTAGATTTTCAACTACTTGCAAGCACATACTAGATTTTATTCACCTTCCACTACAGCTAAGTAAACATTTGTCATAAGGAAAGAATATGAGGAAATGTGCTTAAAATATAAGATTTCACTAAGTCAAGGGTACTATTCAGAGATGGGAGCACTTTCAGTAGGCATGGTACTGTGCTGAGACAGGAACCTGCCTTCAGGGAGCCTCTGTAACAGGTAAAATGACAAGGAGCTAATACAAAGGTGCTACTGCTTCTATTCAACATTGGCCACAAGGGGCAGGAGAGAGAATGGTAGCTGGAGAATTTACGATCAAGGAAGTTTGGTGTTTTAAATATGTGCATTTATTAATCATGATGTACATAATTTCATGTTTCAATTGTTTAGATTCCCAATCAACATATACAATCCCTGATTCTTAATAGAAAATATGCAAGATATAGCATATAATGCTAATCATTGTCAAAAATAGCAGTTTCCAAACTTTTTTTTATTGTAGTAAAATACACATAAAATTTTCCATCGTAACTATTGCTAAATGTACAGTTCAGTAGTGTTAAGTACAGTCACACTGTTATGCAACCAATCTCCAGAACTCTTTTCATCTCATAAAACTAAAACTCTACACCTGTTAAACAGCAGCTCCCTCATTCCTCCTTCCCCCTCAGCCCCTGGCAACCACCATTTTTTCTGTCTCTATAGATTTGACTACTCAGTAACTTATATAAATGGAATCATAGAATTTGTCTTTTTTGTGACTGGCTTATTTCACTTAGCATAATGTCTTCAAGGTTTATCCATGTTTTGATTCATGTGTCAGAATTTCCTTCCTTTTTAAAGCTGAATTCCATTTGTACTTATACACTACATTTTGTTTATCAAGGAAAGGTTTTAAAGAGATGCTTGAAAACATTTACCATCCATGGAAATGACCTAGGTTAGAGGGAGTGGCTGACATACGAGTGACCACAGGAATTGGTAATTAGGTCATTGGTAACCTTTTAGATGGCAGATCCAGGGCTGACAGCATTATTAGAAGGCATTTATCCCTCAATCTCTCCAGAAAAGACTTCTTTTCTTTCAATCCACCTACACATACACCTGCTCACTGTGCTTATGCTTTCAATATTGTACCTTGGCAATTGCATTTTAGTGGATTGTTTTCTCTTTATGATCTGAGTATATCTTATGTAGCTAAATATTTAATCAAAAGACATTTAAAGTACTTTAACAGCACAACTTAAACCATATACATTATAATGAGAGCAAAATACTTGAGGTAACATATGTAACAAATTGTATCTATGCATAATAAACTGTAACCTGGAGGTAATATTTAAATTTTGTATTTATTGAACTTTTTAAAAAAGGGGTAGGAAAACAAAGCTGGCTTACTAACTTTCTCATATAGAGTACTTCTCAAGGTAAACTTATATAAGAATGTAAGGGCAAATTCAACACTCTCAATCATCAAATGAAGACTGAATTATATTTAGGAAATTATGAAGCAGAAAAGCAGTGAATTTTAGAATAACAATTTTGATAAGACTTCAAATTAATGCTAAAAAAATGGTTTAAACAAAAAACTATTTTCTGAACATTTTGCTCAGTTACTCAATTTCATGTTGTTTCAACTTTGCATTAACAAAAATAAGTGTATTTAGCAACTTAACATAAGTACTTCAGCAAAGCCAACACACCAAACTATCAGAAAACTACTTCTATCTTTTCCTTTCATTAGGCTTCTTAGAAACATAAAGTTTCTACTGACACAAAGTGGTGAACAGTAGCATGGAAATTCATGAACTGGAAATAACACTTCCCATTACCCAGTTGGAAAATGAACAATAATTTAAAATGAATACGGCATCTCTCTCAGAAGCAGAGACTCAATCCTGCCATTGATTTCTACCTATAAGTGAAATGTTCATTCTCAGCCCAGAAATGCTGAAATGACCTGTCAGACACACACTGCCAAATGGCAAATGCTATGATTCATCCAATCCATCAGGTGACTTTGCTTAGAAAATTTGGATTTCACATATATACTCCACACAACCTCTCTAGAATTTCTACACATCCCCAGTACCATGGTAACGAATGAGAGAGATCTGGTTGCTGGACATTGATTAAAAGGTTATGTTGCTTTTTGGCTGGATATCTTTTAGATATATCCAGATTCGTGTGACAACTATTCATCAGTGAAATTTTGGGTCATTAGTAACACGGTAGCCAATGAAAAGAGTTTTTCTTCTTAAGCAAAGACACGACAAGGGGTGAGGAACTTAAATCATTGCAGCAGACCTAGGAGACAGAACAGGCAGCAAAAGGGAAGCCTTCTCCACTGGAGGTCTAGAAAAGTAAATTGAAAAAAAAAAAAAAAGGTCATTTGAGTAGTCCTTCTCTAAAACTTGGATCTAAACTGGTTAAGGAAAGGATCCCCCAAAGTTCAAATTTTTTCAACATTGTCGGACAGGATTTTCCTCACTCATTTGAACACCCCAGCATGGCCTCAGTGACCACAATATCTGGTACAACAGGGAAAAATAGTCTCTAAACAGTTTAACTGTTGGGTCTGGTAGGCATGGAATTTTACCTGGGCAACAAAAGAACATGTACCCAGACATCCTGATTCTAAAGATTAATTTCTTTGCATGTTAATTTTCTTTAATTAGTCATCATAGCCAAAAAAAAAAAA